TGAATAACCATAGGAATCTAACCTGAATAACACGGGGAAAAACGTCCGCTCGCAAATGTTACTCAACTGCCACTACACTCTCTGTCCCATCCAGCCAGCACTCCAGTACACTTGTACACCAGGCCACAACAAGGAATCAAGAGAGTTGGAAAAATAAGTAATGGTAGAAAAGTTCAAGAAAAGAAACTGTTCCTTTTCCACAAGATCCAAGATGCATCAGGAAAAAGGACATGCTTCTTACTGGTTGTCATCGCTTTCATAATATTGGGCAGAACTGCCTGTTTGATATGCGATGCAAAATAAATAAACAACAACATGCACAAAATGGCAACCGAATCCGGAAGAGCACATATTCATACTGTCCTACTCTCAATCTCTCGGTTACAATTTCTATTCAATGTGTCTACTCATTGCCGTTCAGGTTGGATGACGTGTCCTTCTGGTCCACATAGAATAGAGTATACATATGTTGATGTTGCAAAGACGTTTGATGAGGCAGTGCATCATTGCAAGAGTCTTGGGATCGGTGGCAAGCTAGCTACTCCACGCAATGCCATGGAGAATCAATGTATTATCCAGACTAAACCATGTAATTTTCTAATTCCTGTCCTCTCTTTTCTAAATGCGGCTTATCCATTCGCCTTTATATCATTGAGCCTAGTTCCCATTTATTGTCCGAATTAAAATAAACCAACCAACCAGTTAAAGCATGTGACTCCGCTGGTGAGACAGCGCCAGGTACATGTGTATCCGGCTCCGACCAGTGTGAAATGGTTGCGCCAGGTACACGTGTACCCGGCTGTCCGACAATCCTAGAGCAGACACTGCGCTCCTGGACGATGAGAACAGATGTCGAGGACCCTTGGTCATTCACAACGCTGTCACGAAAAAGAAACCGCTTGAAATTAATCAAAACCTGTATGTCAACCAGGCTCCGTTAACACAAGGCGATTTTAGCGTCGATCTTGACGATTTTTTTACAATTCCATGTGAGCCGAAATATTGGCCTTGTGTTATTTTCATTATTCGGTAGAAGTTTGTGGCGTGTGTACATTTTTCAATGTCAATTCACGTATGTACTGTCCGTGGAAATCCGAACAGCAGGACGATCTAAACAGCGTAAAGTTGCCAAACTTTTCCGTTCCCTTCTCAGATACAGATATAGGGAATGATGGTATGATGGAATAATTCAAAGACTACAAATGATGGGCTCCAATTCAAAACAAAATGAAGACCAAACCGGAGCTTTTGCGTTTTTTTGTCAAGAAAGTATTCGTTTCACCCCACGGACGTCTTTTGTGTCGGTTTTACGGGTCAAAACGCGATACATCCCAGTCAAAATGATGCCTGAAGTTCGTGTTCTTCTGCAAAACGCGATAAAAGTCATTGTTGCTGCAGCGCAGACCGAAAAAGAAGAAATGAAAAATGCACGTCCTTAAATTTCCACAAAATGGATTTATCTCGTTTTGAATTGGAGCCCTTCAAATATAGAGGCAACGAGGTCATAAAAGCTTAAATCTAACACTTCATGAAGCGAGAATGAAAGGGGTGGAAATAGGTGACTAAAATGGCACATTTTAATACTCAGCTGATGAAAAAGGGCAGGAGAACACATCCCGTGATATTACTCGCACACGCACGGGGACTAGCGCCAAATAACTGCAAAGACAACACATTCTCTTTTTAAACACACAGCTGAGGGGCAGCTCACGAATGTACAGTGCTTCCAGAACAGCAACATGCAATTAGATCTGCCACGAGTGACAATGGACAAAAAATGATCTGCGTGTGTGTGTGTGTGTGTGTGGTGTGTGTGTGTGTGTGTGTGTGTGTGTGTGTGTGTGTGTGTGTGTGTGTGTGTGTGCGTGTGTCATCTTGGCATGTTTTATGTGACGTTTTGCACACTCGAAGGTAAACCGTTTATGGATTGACTGCAACATGTGTAATGTGTGTACAAGGTCTGCGTCGTATGACCTACAGACAGGACACCACCTCCACAAGAAGACCCGAAAGGACGCGTTGGTGGGGCGTTCTCGCGGTACTTTACGGTACTGGCATCATGAAGCCCTTGGTTTGTACTTAAAAATTTCAACTTGTTTGTTGTGTGTGCGTGTGTGTGTGCAGGACCAGAAAGTACGGATGCACCGAAGCCATCCTCGGTCAGACAGCCAACCGAACATAATGCAAGCCTGATTGGACACAGCAGTGTGTCACGGGCACCTCCAAATGTCTCCCAAAAGTCAACACAAGCTAGCGGTAAGACCAGCATCACCATGCTAGTGTACTGTGTGCATTGCTCCTGTACTTGCACCATACACAGGGCCTGCTCTAGACATTCAACACAGCCCGGTCAGAGTGTACCTGGCGCATGCAGGCCAGCCGGGTCAAGCCGGGTCATATCAGCCGACAGAAAAACAACCAAAAAGCCTGCTCAAAACGCAGGAAAACAGAAAGGCGAATTTATTACCGGAAATCGGAAATTTTAGAGAACAAGGCGAACTATAACGAACGGTCTTTTCCTGTTAGCTCTGTTTGTCCAATACATGAGATATAACGTCTTTCTTGTTGTTTTTCCTTCTCCATGTAGCTGCTTCCAGCATGGTAAACGACAGTACCATGGCCTTTTCAGATTTTCATTGTACCTATTTGTAGTACCTCCCGGGATCAGTATTTTCCACTTGAAATAACATCCACCCCAATGCCTCATTCTTAGCATTCTTTTATTCGCTTCCATGTAATTGGGCTTATTGCCCGTTTGGTATTGCGAATTCAAATAAAAAACAACAACAACAACAACTATCAAAGTCCGCAAACGTAGAAGGTAAACGACATTACGTGAAGAATGCAAAGCAGTTCCATTGGATTCTGATTTAACAATTTGAAAAAAGGAATTCTGTTTTCCAATTTATAACATTATGCAAGTAGTGCTAGTAGCAGGACGAACATGTTCACATAATAGAGCACTGGGGGGGGGGGGGGGGGCTGCAGCACCTTGTGGGGTGGCTGCTGGCTGCCACTGCATCACCTGCATGGCCAAGCCGACTGGCATCTGCTGCACCATCTGCTGAAACGCTTCAGCAGACTGGAGAACTGGTGGAGTTGCAACTGCTGCTGCTGCTGCTCCTGCTGCTGGCGCTGCTGGCGCTGCTGTTGCTCATGGTGCGGTTGTTGCTGCTGATGCTGCTGGCGTTGCTGCTCTGGGTGTGCGGGCCAGGTCCCGCCGTTCAGAAGAGGTTGACGTTGCAGTCGTACTGTGCCGAGTCACCTCAGAATGCCATGCAGCCATAGCCTTGTCGTAATTGAAGTCGGCGACGGCAGGAACGTCGAGCTTGGTTGCCATGATCATCTCCAGATTCCTCGTCGACAGCGAGTTCCGCATCGCCGTCTTCACAAGCTTCAGCCAGGGTCGACCTTTCTTCCAAGAGTTTTGGAAAGCGTGAGTTCTTTTTCTCTTCGCTGCGGTCTCCATCGTCCAAATCACCAGTCGGCTGAAAACTTGCAACTGTGTCAAAAGCTATAGCCAAAGTTACGCTTCTGACTGCCTGCCCCATCGACTTTGAATGTCCTGACTTCCTGCTCGCCGCTGGCTCGCCGCGCTCGAACCAGTTGACCCCAGTTGACCCTAGCCGAGTTTCTGTCGCTTGTAGACTGTAGTGTGTACGGTTGCGCTAGATTTGCAACAGATGGGGTCCGCGAGTCGTAAAATACCGGTATTTTAGGAATCCATTGTCAGTTTGAGACATTTTTCAGGCGGGTCAGACTGGACCCGGTGTTATCTGTTCAGCCAGGTCGTGCAGTTCCCCAGCCGGGCGCGTGACCCGGCTGACCCGGCTCTCCAGCAGGCCCTGATACACACTATCCACCTAACACTCCGAAAGCATAGTACCATTAGCTCACTACACACTGAACTGAGAAAAACGGACTTGAAGTTGGACTTTTGCTTTTGTGTTTGTAGATGGTAAAGTTGGCATTTTTCTCTTTTCAGGCAGTTCGCTTCCCCGGCTGAGCGATTGCATTTTGAAGTTCTCCCAGTTCTTGGAAAGAAAATCTTGAAAGGATTGGGAACAATTTTACTTAGAAGGGGGGGGGGGACACATTTCAGGCTCTTGAACATTTTGAACAGTGTTCACTAGTATACTTTCATGCCTTATCATCTGGTGAAATGCAGTGGGCAAGATCGAATGAGCATGGACAGTGATAGAAACAGCGCAAGAAAGAAGAGCCAAAACAACAGTGTCAAATGCGTTACCCATACGCATAGAAAGTAACGGGGGGAAGGTGCAAGTGTGAGTAAACCCAAGAAGCGTGAAGTGCTGTTGGATTGGGAACACACTTCAAATTTCAAAATTCCCCGACTGATCCTTTGCAAAGAAAATTGTTTGCATCTCACGCTCTACGCCTAATGTGTGACGCTACAGTGTTTGGATGTGTGACCTCTGGAGTGCTCAGTTGGAGGTTTTTTCTCTGTTCTTGCAGAGCGTTCCAGAATGCCTAAGATTGTGAAAATCGAACGATTAAAAGTTACGGTAGAAAAAGCGAAGGACGAAATGTTACGTGTTATGACTAACTGTCCGCAAATGCAACCAGATCAGAATTACACAGTCAGCATATGCGACAAAATGGCACAAAACTGACAGGGAATACTGAGTATGCGCAACCTCGGCCATTCGCTCGCATCAGCTCTTTGCCCGCATTGATGGAGCTCCAGGTGCCCAACAAGCCGAGCAGGTGCAAGTCGCGACTCAAAACTGGCCGTCCGTGCGCTGTCATTCCTCGCTCCATTCCCTCCTTCACTCCATTTGATTAAAAAAACTGTTCACTCTCCTGAAGGAGAGCGCGGAGAAACGTTACTTCTCCAAACCAACTTAGCCTAGTGTTCTTCTCACTCATAAAAAGGACACACTTCAGGCTCATTTTTTTACACTTCAGGCTCATTTTTTACACTTCAGGCTCATTTTATGAGTATTATCGCATTTTTGTCTCAGAGGAAACTGTTCTACTGACTGTTATTATTATTCGAAGGAAGTTTGGGCGTGTATAAATTTTTCAATGTCAATTCACGCATGCACCGACGCAGCAGAACCAAGCAGCAGGACGATCCGGACAGTGCAAAATTGCCTAATGTTTTCGTTCCCTTCTCAACATATACAGGGAATGCTGGAATAATTCCAAGACAACAAATATAGAGGCAACAAGGTTTCAAATCTTTATTCTCACGATAGCCGGTGGCCAATAAGAGAAGGTTTCAAATCTTTATTCTCACGATAGCCAGTGGCCAATAAGAGAAGGTTGTTGTTGTTGTTGTATACTAGTACTTTTGTTTGTTTTGTTTTAGTCAAAACAGGCACATGCCTAATAACAATGGATCCACAGGGAATACAATTTAAGGTGGCTCCTACCCCTCGGGTCCAATTTTTTTTTGTTTGAAACGTGGCTACAAACGATTGTACTTTGTTCCGTAGGATATCTAGTGTACGGAGACAACATTTTATCAAGTTCTACCGGCCGGTTTCACTCGGGGGAGGGGCCAAACATAGCATACTCACAATTGCCAATTTAGGCCAAAAAACACCGGAAAACCACTTTTTTGGCCGTAGCACTGGTAGTTACCCCATTTTTCTTGATGTCCAACATCAGGTCAGTAGTATACTTGCTAAATACCAGCATAAGCTTTAGAAGTGGGTAGAATTCTGCTAGAAGGTGACCTTTTTCTCTTTTCGGAATCATCCCATTTCAGCGCACACGTCCCACATATTAGCCACGCCCACAAGTATTTGACACTGGACTTGCCCTGTATTCGATGGTTATGCTATCATAACCTAATAATGGTACTGTGTAGCAAGTTTGAGCAGGTTCTACCGAAGGTAACTTTTGAAATAAAACTTTGAAGTGTCAAGTGATGCCATATTTTCAAGAATCAGCACATTGCACTGGGACATTGTCCAACGCCTTAGAACCCCTGACTCCACCGTATGACAGATACGTATCTTGCAATAATTGATTGCAACATCTTCCGAACATAGTAGTAGAGCTTTGGATCAAGTTTTAGCAGTTTCCACCGAAGCTAACTACCAAAATAAAACTTTGAAGTCGCCCACATACTAAATGCAATAGCTGAGCACGTGCATTGAGTGTATGGTCTAAAGGTTTTCACAACTAGCTCCAATGCGGCAGATACGTGTCTTACATTACTTGATTGCAACATCTTCAGAACATAGTAGTAGAGCTTTGGATCAAGTTTAGACAGTTTCTACCGAAGCTAACTACCAAAATAGAACTTTGAAGTCGCCCACATACTAAATGCCATACACAACAGAACAACAAGGACAATCAAGGCTTGTTTGCTGCTACTTTAAGTTTCATGCTTACGCAATCATCAGGTTGCCTGATGATTGCGTAAGCATGAAACTTAAAGTAGCAGCAAACAAGCCTTGATTGTCCTTGTTGTTCTGTTGTGTATTACGCTCTGCCTTTGTGGTGTTGAGCACTGTCAAGCACTCTGGGTACATCCTTCGGTAAATGCCATACATGTAGCTGAGCATGCGTATTGAGTGTACATGTATGCTCTAGTGTTTTTCACAACTTTCTCCAACATGAAGCCAATACTGATGTGGAATTTTTTGACTGCTTTGTCCAAAACACAGTGCTGAAGCAATGCACATTGGGCACTTTCTACTGGTAATGCAATTATTATTATACAGTGTTTGCTGCCAACATAGCAAGCAATACTGCTATACTAAATGCGTATTCCATTGGGTACGGTCCAATGGCTTTTCACTTCGCATCTAGCCACTGTTCTTCGTGCATTACTTGAACGCTTAGTCTCCATGGTAATGAAGCTAAGAGCCACACTGGAGAAGTTTCTACTGAAGCTAACTATCAAAAATATAAAATTTCCAAGATGCTACTATTACATAAAGTAGCTGTGTGCAATGCCACTCTGTTGAACACAGTAAGCAAAATTGAGTCACTAAAACCCTATTTGCCAGATATAAGCTGTTGAGACTGATAGCAGCTGAGCTGTATGATCTGATATGGATGGCGGTTCCACACTGACCAGCACATGTACACGTGCACAGGCAGAAGAACATACAAGTAATACACCTAACGGTACTTCGAAGTCCATCATGTAAATACATGTACAAGCGTATATACAAGCATCACTCCTGTTCTCCACAACCTGCAGTCCTGGGCCACTCCAGCTGGTCAGAGTGCAATAATTTCTGCAGCAGGCTTGACTTGGAAAGCTAATCACAACTGCCATGGCTGCAACATGAGTATTACCAGCGCTTTTACAGCGCTACTTGTATTATATTATTGTCAATCCATTGTGGTGCATGGCACTCGTTTTCAACAACCGAGTTTATGTCATTAGTTGCATATCCAACGCCAATAGAAAAAAGAAGGGGTGGGGCAAATTACCACGGTTCAACACTAGTCATATTGAACGGCGTTATACCATGCCAGGCGCGCACACACACAACGCCCGCGCGAGTGCGCATGCATATACTCACCCGGGTAACACACATTCGTGCGACTCTACATAGCCTGCACTGTCGTTCTATGTCATAGGAGTGAGTGCACACACATATGTACATGTAGATTGCCTAATTTTGCATACGTAATAAAATTGTGTAAGTATACACACATGTGCGTGCACATATAGATAGACTCAGCGGCATACGCATGAGTGTGTGCCGATAGGGCCACATGCCAATTATCGGATTAGTCTGTGAAAGTTGCACGGCACGGCAAACTTTCGAACAGTCTAAAGATATGACACAATGAATGTGGAATACCCACCAGTGTGTAAGACCATTTCATACCTATTTCGCAGTGTTTGTGATTTTCGGAACGTCCCTGTTGATATTTGATGTCCTCACTTGGTTGATGACACAGTCACAAATTATCAAATTCACCTCCAATGCCATCCAGTCTGCGTTCCGCGATACATGTACAGTGAACGGCGTTGAGGAAAGCCATGCAGCAATAAAACAGTCGAGACTCCCAAGCAGAGGATACAATTCAACAGCGTATTGAAGTACGAATTGTTGTAAACAATTTTCAAGACACAATTACAAAATTTGAAGTGCGTCTTGAAACGTGTTTGAAGTGCTTCGATGTATTTACCTTCGACCTCCCTGACTCGATCCATCCACAGCTACCCGACGAATTTACCAGTCAGTGCGGGAGATGATCGAGCAAGTTATATTTGAAGGTCGCGACATGTCAGTGGCACTGGCAGGAAATCTACACAAGCGTATTCTGAAATAATTTTCTAAGACTCAGGCGTGATTCAAGAGCGGACTTTGATTTCTCCCTTCTTATAGTACGAGCACCAGTCGACATTGCATTCTTGGAAAATCTTCTGCGAGTGCTGCCTTCCCCTTTCATAGAAAGAACGAGTGAAGAGGGACACTAGCAGCAGGTTCTAGCTAGGTCGCCAGAATTGCAGAAAAGCGAGAAGACGTTTCCTACAACGATTGATCGCACAAAAATTATCGCTACCGAAAAATTTACTGAAAATCTACACTTTTCAAACGATGCGCGCGCAGAGGGTGTGAGCCACCTTAAGGGACAGTGTGGAAAAGTGGAGATAAGAAAAAGAATGAAAGAAAAGTGAAGGTTGGTTTTAATGAGCAGATATCAATCCAGTGAGCTATGAAAACCCTACGTAGAGGTCATAAAAGATTAAATCTAACACTTCACGAAGCGAAATGAAAGAAGTGGAAATAGGTGACTTAAACGGCACGTTATAATACTCAGCTGGTGAAAAAGGGCAGGAGAACACGTCCCGTGATATTACTCACACACTCACGGGGACTAGCGCCAAATAACTGCAAAGACAACACATTCTCTTTTTGAACACACAGCTCAGGGGCAGCGTACGAGTGTACAATGCTTCCAAAACAGCAAGATGCAATTAAGATCTTCCACGAGTGACAATAGAAAAATCCTGATCTACTGTAAATATACAAAATTTCGGCACTTCACGATTTTTGACATTTCGGCGGCGATTTATTTTTGGCGTGGGGTAGAGGGCATGACATAGTGCGACAGATGCTGTGAAAAATTTCATCGGCGTTTTAATTTAGGCGTTTTGGGTCGGTGCCGAATATAGCCGAAATTAAATAGCTGCCGAAAATTTGTATACTTACAGTATGTATATGTGAGTGTCATCTAGGCATTTTTGTGTGGAGCTTGCATCCGCTCGAAGGTAAACCGAGTACGGATGGACTGCCCAACGTGAAATGTGTGTACAAGGTCTGTGTCGTATGATCCACAAACTACGCCACCTCCACAAAAAGACCCGGAAGGACGCGTTCGTGGGGCATTCTCGCGGTACTTTACAGTACTGGCATCATGAAGCCCTTGGTTTGTAGTATGGTTGAACTAATTATACTGATAACTCGCATATCAATCATTATGAGTGCAATCGATAATCGTTGGTGTTCAAAACGAGTGCTAATGATTTTTGATGCATGCATATCAGTGACAGTATTCTAGCCCTTGCACTCCATCCGATAGTGGATACGAGTACAATCATGTACTTTCAAGTGCAGTCAAATTGACTTGTGTCTTTGAAAGAGATCGGCAGAGAAGACTTTGCCTTTTCGGTTCATTCGTGGGAGAAGTCGGAGATGAGAACAGTTGCCAGAGGGTGATGACAAGATTCTTCGCTCTAGAAACAACATGAAGCTCTCTACTTGAGTAGTTCATGTTGATAAAACCAGCCAGATATCTACAGATGTCAACAGTGCAGTGCCACAAATTTCTAGCGTAGCAAAGGCATCGTGGAATTTCTTCATAAATTTGGTGCTCGATAGAGCTGACAAGAATCGATAAAACCAATACAGTCTGTATCGGCTATAGTGTACCCTTTTGATTTCCGTGATATTATCACTATATCCGATGCATCACTATATGCGATACGATCGATTTTTTTATTTTATTTCGATCGACACATGAAAGGCAAGGAAATACTTCCAGCATGGCGTTTTGACAAATGAGCATGCTGCATAGTTGACAGTGCCCGTATTTACATAAAAAAATTCTGTTATGTACATGTACATGTATCACTATAAAAATAAGCAACGTGAAGAAAGTAAAAAAATAGGGCCTTTGATATTATTGCTACATATATTTTAAAGTTATCGCTATAGCCGATAATAATATAGTGTGTTATGCATGTTTTGATTCTTTGCTGCCATCATAATATCCGATATATCATTACATCCGATAATATTGGTTATAGTGATATTTTTACTGGATAAAAGACGTTTTGCTTTTGATATTTCGTACCAATATCACTGTAGCCGATATATTCTTTTATCCGGTCACTCTATAGCCGATACAGACTGTAACATGATTATCGATCGTTAATGATATTGGTTGATCGTTAGGAATTATTGAATGATCGTTTCGGCCCTAGATCTTTGTACTTAAAAATTTCAACTTGTTCGGTGTGTGTGTGTGTGTGCAGAACCAGAAAGTACGGATGCACCTAAGCCATCCTCGGTCAGACAGCCAACCGAACATAATGCAAGCCTGATTGGACACAGCAGTGTGTCACGGGCACCTCCAAATGTCTCCCAAAAGTCAACACAAGCTAGCGGTAAGACCAGCATCACCATGCTAATATACTGTGTGCATTGCTCCTGTACTTGCGCCATACACACTATCCACCTAACACCCAAAGCATAGCACCATTCCCAGGACACTGACTAACACATCAGCACCCCCCCCCCCCCCTCCACCCTTCATTGCAGACACTATACATAATATGGCCCAATATCTGAGAAAATCGACCTTCCGGGCTATTTTGGTGAAAAAGACTTTTTCATTGTAAAATGATTTCTGACCTGTGTAGAGTATTTTGACAACGTTTCACGGATTTCAGAGCAATATTCACCATGTAGCAATGCATTTTATGAGTAGGAGTCAGATTTTGGATTTGCACATCTTAGCATTGATTTTGAAAACTCAGCATGGTTGGTACTACTGTTTGTATCCAAGTTGTAACAATAACAGAAAACAGTTCAGGACTACAATAGAGTGTCTAAGCACTTCTTTTCCAGCTTTCATACTGTTGGTAGGGTAGCTGCGACAGCAGCAACGGCAGTAGGAGCGGGGCAGGTGATGTCTCTGTTTTCCTCGTGACAGTGCTGACGAACCTGCTTGAAAAGGTAGTCGGCACGAGCGTGTGACATCCCGGCTGGTTGCAGGGCAGGTGGAAGGACTTCCGTCTTCAATGTGCTGATGTCAGCATCCGGCTTGATAATCGACAAGGTCTTGTCAGCCTCCGTCGATGATCCAGACATCTCCACCATCCCAGGCTTGTCAGCTGAGAAGTGGAAATTCTGGTATTTCGTGATGTTTTTCACGGGCTTGAAAACAGTGGAAAGGTATGCATCCCACTGTCTCCAATCCCATGAAAACAAAACGGCCTTGTTGAAGGCTGCTGATTTATCTGTTGCATCAGCTAGCTGCTGAAGTGTATCGACGTCGGTCTTCCTGTAAGTCTGCTTCAGCAACTCAAAGCCGCCATCGACAAAGCATCGAGTGGGCCCAACGCGCATGAAGCACAGGTCGATGGATTCGTTGAGCCCCACAATGACTCGCCAGCAGAGGTACCCAACGACTGTTTTGTTTTTGTTTTGTCCGCAACAATTGTCGGCGTGCAGACCGATGTCGTGTGCGCCCTTGGCATGCTGCTGAAGATGAAAATGGAGGAGTGAGACCACTGAGTTTGGCCCATGGCATTTGCTGCCATCAACTCCGATGGTCTCATTTTCGTCAAACAAATAGTTGTGCTGTGATGGCACAGCCTCCGCTGCAACACCAAAAATCTGGATCCGGCGCGGAACTTTGAAATACAATGCACCTACTTCCCGGGCATGGTGTGGAATGTGCGCCTGCTGGGCAAAGTCGAACGTGAAGTGCTCGTATGCTGGCGCTTGCAACTCACTGCTTTGCTGTTCAGCTATGGCATCCTTTGCCTTCGCAATGCAGGCCCTGTAATGATCTCGCGCAACATTCGCCTTCTCCATGTGCGCCTTCAACTCTTCCACTGTTTCTTGTCTGGAAATTTCCGTTCTAGCTCGGGTGATCTTCGACTGCATTTCTGAACATTCTCCACAAACACCTTCCTTCGGAGTCATAATCAAAACATCTGGAGTTTCTTTCAACCATAGTTTTACAAATGTCTGGTAAGAGACAGTGCCTCCGGCATCTACGTACTTCTGGTGCACCAGCTTCTTTGTAGTGATGCATGGCAAGTACTAGTAAACTGGTGCTGGAGTGTTGTGCCCCTGGGTGCAGCAGGCTGTGGGAGACCATTCACCACAGCGTAGTTACGAATGAAATCGCGTACCTGCGTTACACCCTCCGCAGACACAGCATGCCAGGGAGAACGACCAACATTTCCATGCTGTGGAGGAGTCAGAACGCCTGCATCGAGATGTGCCTGCACTTGATGCACGTCGTATCGACTGGCGGAATTTGCATACAAAAATACCGCCTGACACGTTTTCACACCACCGACTTCGTACCGGTATGTCACTCGAGATCGCGCAGCATGATGTGCTCCGTGATGTCCTGAATCGCCACGATTAGCCAGAGCATCCAGCTTGCCACTCAAGAATACGCGACGGTCATCGTCGCCAAGAACCTCCGTAGAATTTCGCGATGATTTTAGAATTTCTGGTGGGACACTCAGGAAGCAGTTTTGACTCCCTGCGCAAGGGCAGCCAGCGACCCGGCGTGCTTCGATGTCCTCAGTGGATGACAGCTTGATAGCTGGTTGCTTGTCCCTGCCTACAGCGGCAGCAGCTAGCGCTGTGGCCGGCTCCGGTTGCCCCTGATCATACTCATCAAGGTCCTCTTCATCGTCGCTGCCAACAGGTAAGTGCGTCGTGTCAAGTGCGATCGTTTCATCTGCGCTATCAGAAGCGCTGGCGTCGCTGGAGGGGATATCGCCAAAGAACGATGCATCATCGTCGATGAGATCGCGGTTGGCCTCCTCTGTGAATCCAATAACAACTTGACACAAGGATCGCCTTCGATTTCCTTCCGCCATTGTCGCCTCCGCAGTTTGCTGTGACAGAATCGATTTTTTTGCGATCAAATTTGTTTTGGCTTTTTCTCAAAAAAGTCGCGTCGCCCCGAAGGTCGAAAGTCTCAGATATCGGGCCATATGGGCCTCAACCAGCGAAAACAGCCCTTAGGGTCAAATTTTTCAAAATTCCTTTTTGGTTAGAAATTTGTTGAAGCACATCTACTGAAGGACGTCAGCCAAGAAAAAGTTCAATATTCCGATTCAAAACGGGTGTATACACCAATATACAAGGTGTACTCCAAATTGGTGCAATGTACTTGTATGTAAATGATGTATGTGTACAATAAATATTCAGCATTCTAAGGTGGGTAGGCAGCTTGAATACCTTTGAAATAGTGCAGTAAGCAGCTAGAATGACAAAGAATAGCGGAAGAGTGCGGAGACATGATCGACTTATTTGCAGCTGCATCCTGCATGGAGTCGTTCCGCAATGTCTTCCATTTCTTCCTGCGCAGCTGACGACACGACGTCGCTGCCGTCACTAGCCCCAGACTCAGAATTTATCTCAGGTGATGACTCCTCATCTTCCGACTCTGACGAGTCATCGACCACCTTGAGCCGCAACGCAGCAGGAGATGACGGCTGCAATTCCGCCTCGCTGTCGACATCGATGTCGGAACCAAAGAACGTCTCATCCTCACTCTGAACTTCAGCGGCTACTTCAGCATCCACTCCCCACCAGGCTCGAGCTAGCTGCTGTACACAATGACTGCCGCGTGTGCTCTGCGAACAGCTCTGGCGTCCGCAGCCATCGCAACAAGATCAAGGAACACTCGAGTCGCCACTCGACACCACTTCAACTAACTTCAAATAAATTCAAGCAAGGAGATCAAGAAGAACTCGTCGCGCTGTTCGCAGCGCGATCAAAAAATCGTTGAACGTCACAAATCGACCTTTTTCTTGAACAAATTACGAAAACTCTAAGGGTCGTTTTCGCTGATCGCGGCTCATATTACATGCATAAAAGCCATTGCGTTATGTCCGAATATCATGCCAACCTCCCTTATAATTATATTGTTGGCGTTTTAACTTGTAAGCGAACAAAAGACCCTGGGAAAGGCAAAGTGCATGAACTACATGACTGGTTCCGCACCCTTTGGTTCTGCCCTGAAGATATATTTTGCATGTGCGTGTCTCTGTCTCACTTTTAGCTCCATGCTGTTATAGTCAAATCTATTTTCTCGAAAGTTCTGGTCTTTAATTAAAACAGTGATATCTCACCTATAGCGCAATGGCTTAATATGTGCAGAAATACGGTATATACAGGTAGACTCCCTCTAATTCGAAAAATTATGGAATAAATTTCACGGTTCGCGTGAGACTCGGCTGGAAACCGAGTTTTCCGCATCCGCCGTGAGAACGCCACCACCCTCTAGGATCAAGGCGCAGATGCAGTGCCTAAACGGTGGGAGATGAGTAGATCAGACCCACTACCAAGTGGTCAAAGACCGAAATCCCATTGGCTGCATCCATGTTGCCCTCATGCCAGGCCACGAGTTCCCAATTAACTGTGGGTAGCAGCACGGCTGGAAAAATTCCTTCCGCTTCCAAGCAGGACTTGAACCTGGTACCCTCTGTTTCTCAACCATGGTCTTAGACCATCCCACTATGCCTGCCTGCCTTGTAATTCAACATTCCGTGTAATTCGAACTTTTTCGTCGTAACGATCTTCTGCAAGTCACTTCAAGTCAAAATCGAATGCATAATTCAAAGTACGAAAAGTGCGCTGGTTGGATAATTCGAACCCAGTCTTCGTACAGAAGAGCTGTTTACAGTACATTGGCTATGTCCCTTGAACGCTTATTTCGAAGTGAGATTGAGTTGCTATCCTTGTAATTCGAAGTTCATTCTTTTCTCCTTCTCTAGCCAAGAGTAGCTCAAAAATCGGCCGATGGTCCGCTGCAGGATCGACTATAGCGTTCAAGAAACCCACCTTCTCTCGAAATTTGATTCAAGCCCGTGCGAGGCAAATTGCAAAGGTTTGATTGAAGACGACTTCTTCCAGGTGGCTGACTCTCTTCGCGGATCTTGATGGCCTTTCTTGCCGCGCCAGCTCGTGCGCGGAGATGTTGGCGCACAACAACACTATTGTCGTAAATATTGTCTATGCCTATGCTCCACTTCCGTTCTTCAGAACGACGTGCTGCTGTCCGACGGCCTTTCATGACGCGGATTAGGTAGCGCAGTTCCTTTCCGTTGAAATTGTTTCAGGAAAGCTGCAGTGACTGACAATTTCTTCACTAGAAGATGAAGATAATGTCAAATGATTTTGTGTCGATCCAGTGTTTTGATGATCCGTTGTACATGACTGGTACGACCACCCATGTTTCGTTGATGCAAATAAAAATGTGCAAAAAATATTCGGCATGCGATTTCAAGCATTTTGACATAGATATCAGTGCATGGGGTTGCATTTGGATAATTAGAAGTTCCGGATAATTCGAAATTACGGCCTGGCAATTTGAGGTTCGAATTAAAGGGAGTCTACCTGTATAACACTTGGATATGGTCAAGATCATTCCATGTTGCCTGATCTACCGTAGTGAATATAACAACTAGCCTGACTTTTCTGTTATACAGCGTACAACTGCCCTTATACTTCTTGTGCTGCTCAACTTTATGCGTGTGTGTGTTCACTGTCATAGCAATAGGAGCAGCAATGACAGTGCTTGCTCTCGTGGTCGCTATTGTTGCCGTCGCTGTGGTTTGTGGACGAAGGAAAAGGTGAGAGAACTAAGTTACACGACACCGGGCTTGATGTGATGAATTTATGTTCTAGATGTATGCCTGGCGAAGATGTGTGTGTTTTGCAACCAGTTTAATAGAGATAAAGACTTAGAGCGTACACCAAATAGGTGATGTTGTGCATGAAGTTATATGTACATACTTTCAATTTGCTCCTGCTCTTGTGGTGGTTGAGCACTCTCTTGTGGGGTAGTGCCTTTGCTGTTTGCGTTACGCAGAGCTCACCGACTTGTCAGTTTGACACTTTGGCAAGGTATGTTCAGGCCAGGTTTGATATGGCCTCGGAAAGTTTCATTCTCATAGTTATGAGCTTCAGCCTCATTTTCTCTATGCTGCGCTGATGAGTCCACGAAGGACACAACCGTTCGGTCCACAGATTGAGTAATTTTACTGATATGTAAGAAAGTGTAGCGGCTGTTTTACTTTCATAGCTTGTATTACTAATAGGCCATTTGTACTTGTGCTGTATGGGGAAAGAGATGGTGTTGATGTTGCCTCTATGTACAAGCCTCCTGGGTGTGTAGATCTGTACCTGCAGGAATCATCAACCAGTGATCTATGTTCTTATTCCGCCCAGCTGCAGAAGTCAAATACGTGTCAACGGCAGTGTGAGCACACTGGAAGACCAATTGCTATATTATGATAATACTGGTGAGTGTTGTGTGTAGAACCTCTGTGACCACTGTACTTGCTATGCTTCTCCTAGAATAGTCAAACATGTGGTGAGAGATAGGTTGATAGACAGACACACAGGTAGGCAGACAAATAGACAGACAGACACACAGACAGACAGACAGACAGACAGACAGACCAATAGACAGACAGACAGACAGACAGACAGACCAATAGATAGACCAATAGACAGAATAGATTGATAGATAGACGTAGAGAAAGGTAGAGAGGGTTATACGAGAGAGACATTGAGAGATACAGAGAGACATGCAGAGAGACGTAGATAATTCAGAGAGACATAGATAGATACAGAGAGACGGAGAGACATAGATAGATACAGACACAGGCACACATAGAGAGACAGACATACAGACAGACGGATGGACGGACGACAGACAGACAGACAGACAGACAGACAGACAAGCTTTTTACTCTGTTACATGTACCTTTACATTTTTTCACCCTCTACACAATGTACTCTCCTCTTCCCCAACCTCCTGTGTCTACTCCTCCCCATTTTCCCGACCCCTGTGTCTACTCCTCCCCACTTTTTGGTGCACTGAAGTGTCGCTGAAGACGAGACCTCAGGTCGATGGAGATGCTCCAGTTTCACCCCCCCCCCCCCACAGTTTTACTTTGCAGCCACCTCTATCATCCAGTATTCTGTCCTTGAGGCTCGTGGTTTCTCGTAAAAAGGCAGGGAATCAGGCAGACAGACAGACGGACAGACAGACAGATATGTATTCAATCTGCGAACAGCGTGCTGTTTTGTCCTTTGTCGACTTGATATTAAAAATTTCAATTCCTAAATTGCAAAGGAAGAGATAGGTAGATAGAGATAGGTAGATAGATAGATAGATAGATAGACAGACAGACAGACAGACAGACAGACAGACAGACAGACAGACAGACAGACAGACAGACAGACAGACAGACAGGTAGATACACAGACACACAGACAAAGATAGGGAGGAGGGACTGGGAAGGAGAGTGAGTATGGGAGGGCACGTGTTGGAGGGGGGGGGGGGGGGGGAGGGGAGCAAGCAGACAGGCACACTTGGAGTACAAGGCTGAACGTCTTTAGTCCTATGATCAGGAACGTTGCTCACAGTTGTGTTTTGATGCGTGTAATCCATTGTGCATTGTGCAAGTGTGTAGGACGTCGCATAATAATTGGCCCGGTGTTCCATTCTTTGTTCTGTCAAGGTTCACTAGAACCGGAAGAGTACAACAGGAATGAAGGGGAACTATCGGTTGTATAAATACATGTATGCATGCAGATCTGCATCATGGAGATCTGCATCATGGCAGCTCGGCTGTGTTGTCCATGATCCTGCGGAGGTGGTACATGCTGTTACAAATTGCTTACTAACGGCATCTACCATGGTGTCGCCAGCCTACATTCAGCCTGAGGTGTCAACAGGCTTGTTATGTCGCCAGTCTACAAGCCGGACTGACATTAGGCCTGCGCTGTCCCCAGTCCTAAATCCTTGACTGTCGACGGGCCAATGGCCGACAATCTGGACTGTCCACAGCGCTATGGTCTCCACAATCATGCTCTCCGCTTGCTCTGGCTGTGCTGTGTTTTGCTCGTAGCAATCTTTCCTGCAAACTGTAACCTTCTTTTTATACTTGAAGAGTGGATGAGGAGACAATAACTTTAGAACATCTATGAATAGAGTGTGCACAGACATCATCTACATGATGACCTTGCACATTATCTTCCTTCACCATTCAGTGATGTGCTCAACCTGTAGGCTGTAGTGAAGATTTGTTCACAAGAACACTATGATGTTCTTAGAGAGTAAACACTGTTGTTATTGAGTGCGGTGCACGCTGTTTGACCTCGGGAAAGGCTGTGCGGTAGCACGTGTGAA